TGACTAGTCACACGGCTTCTCACTAACACACTCCAAGACAATCCTTCATTAAACTAGTCATGATAGAATTGAGGAAACCGATGAGTTTCACTGAAATCTTCAACTTGATCAATGAAACTCATCAAATATTTCCACAATTCTTAAATTAACAAATCGATTAGCTACTGTCTCTTGTGTCGAATACCTTCATATAATTGACGTAATTATTCACGTAGTCTGGTGTAGTTTTTTTTATAAAACCTTAATTATTATGATTTTTATATAACGTTTTTCAATTTGAGTATTTTTCAAAAATTTCACGCAAATCCCATTAAAAAAAGTTGATTTATGTTTCATTCTGTCTAATTGTGCCCATTTGTCTAAATAGACATACACACACTGACACACGGACACACACACGCACACACCTTAATTAAGGCTACCAACATGATTATTATTATTATTATCAACCCCCCCCCCCCTCCACATCGTCCGATAATATACACATGTATATCAATTTATGGGAACTAATATATAGATATATAATGGGACAGACATTAAATGAATAGACATGTCTATGAAACATGTATATATGTATATATATATACACGACACGTTATGGTCACCCCCTGTTCGTGTTTTTTGAGGAGAAATTTTTAAAAAATATTAAGGGTGGTGAGCTAATGAGACGTAGACGAAGAAATCACGTACTCATTTTAAACCGTAATTATTAATTATTGGTCAGGGGGGGGTGTGGACGAGGGAAAAATGTTTTGTTTTTTTCTCTCGGAAATAATTAAACACTGATTAAAATTGGCCAAAAAAACAGAAGCAATTCAACTGGAACTCCAGTTGTGTATCGATCGAATTTCGCTGTTATATATGGAGATATTCGGAATTATAAAAAATGTGTTTCAGTAGTGACTAGTTTCGTGAGGAATCTTCTCCGGTCAGTGAAGTTCAACCCTGTTCGGGTGTAGGCAGTAACTAACCAAAGACAAATGGGTGAGGCCACGCAAAATCTGTAGATCGATCAAAGTTAGATATTAACAACGATGGATGATGGCCAACCCAGTGGTCCAGAGGTTGGGCGTTCATGCGTAAGATTGAAAGTCCTGGGTTCGAATCTTGAGAGGTGCAGGAGTCGTGGATGTGCACTGTCACTGATAAGTAGTCCCATACCAGGACGATACGGCCGCCCGGAGATTCCATACTTCTAATATGGTGGTCTAATAATGACTGATTGATGATTTTAAATGTGTAAAACACTAGTCTCTATAACTCTAATTGAAAACATCGTAAAACGTGCTCACTAGTGACTATAGTGACTAGCTTCGTGAGGAAATCCTCCGAGTTCTAGTATAGAAGCTGTGACCAGTGGAGTTCAACGCTGTTCGGGTGTAGGTGGTTGTTACCTATCAAAGATAAATGGGTGAGGTTGAGCAAAACCCTCAGACTGATCAAAATCCGACATTAACACTGTTGAATGCCGGTTCAGTAAGACCGAAGGTCATGGGTTCGACTCCTACTAGCGAGGATTGTGGATGAGCCCTTCATTCTCATATGGGATATATTAGTGAAAGTACACAGTCAAGATCTCACCACCGGATGATCGGACTCAAGACCTACTCAATTTCACTTAAGATCGCTTAATCTCTAGACCCAGTATTGGGCTTCTATCAATCCAAAATATTGAGTAACACTACTTCTATTGTCGTCGACTGGCAATTGTTTCATACTCAAAACAGACCAACTTCACTAGCCATAGCATTCAAGATCCGATCGTTAATGACGCCTCGATCGTAGCTGCTATCTTGACGTGGCGGTCAAACTTGCCTATCGTGATAACCCAACCGAGCTATATTCTGAGATGTTCGAGATAATTTGTAACTCAGATGGATGATTGAAGGGGGTGGTGGTGTTTGGTTCTCTGAACTACGGATGTTTTGGTTGTGGAGCCTTCATCATTGTTCTTCTCCTATTGAACAACATCATCATCAACACAAACTTCAGGTAGACGAAATGAAGCATTCGAATTTCTCCATGCGTTTGACTTGTAGCTTGTTATGCTAACCTTGATCTTGATTGGTTAATAGGTTTAAGTTCAACAGCAGCCAATGAAGATCGAGTTTAGCAGAACAAACAGAACAGGCCAAACGCGTGGAGAAATTCGAATGCTTCACTGCTGCTGTCTGAAGTTTGTGCTGACGATGATGTTGTTCAGCAGCAGAACAATGAAGGCTCCACAACCAAAACATCCGTAGCTCAGAGAACCAAACATCACCACCATCACGAGCTAGATTCGCTAGGACATATGTTCCTGTAGGTTCTATCATGCCAGACAGGTTGATTGGAGGACGATTTCGATTATAGATGTACAGTAGCACTGTTGTAGTGAAGGAGAACACAGGTGAGGGCAACCCAAATTGTATTTATCAGAAAATTACAGAGTTACTCAGTAAAATCATCGGAAAACCATATCGTAAACCGTTGTTAATTTGCGCAAATCTTCAATCCATCATCAATCCACATTGTCTGACATTTCACTCATTATTCATGCGTTTCATACACAAATTCCATTTTTGTGTTCACCTCACTCTTCCTTTCTTGTTGATCTTCCCCCATCCTCTTCTGCTGCCTCTAGACATTACGTTTTCACTCGCGTCATATACTACTTATAAGTAGCGCGCACCACACTGTCACTGACAATGACCATCGATGAAATGCTCATCTAGTCGTTTCCCAGTTTTGATAATGTTTATTCTAAACTTTCGATCGATTCATGACATCTCTCTCTCCTTTTTTACAGATCGTCAATGTATCACACCTGGTTGTAAAGGTCGTTTGATTCTACGCAATTGTCGTGGTCATAGCGGTTATCCAGTGACACATTTTTGGCGTTTTGCTAACGGTGCTGTTTATTTCGAAGCGAAAGGTGAACATGATCATAATCGTCCATCATTGAAAACATTCGGACTGTCGGATTCTGAGACAACTATGGTAAATCATGTGATAACTGGAACGAAGCCAATTACTACTACTGCGGCGGCGGTTACCATGACAACCGTCACCACCCCTACTAGTACTACTACTACTACTACTAGTGCTATGGATAGCTTAACTACGACAATAACACCTACAACAACAACAGCAGTAGTAGCGTTAACAGATAACGCTGGAAATTTCAATGTTCAATGTATTGAACATTTAACGCCCCATTTTGACAATTGTCGACAACACCAACACCAACAGCAGCCATTGAATCATGATGGCGGTCAATTTGTTGCACAAACTGACCAATCAATGATGTTTCAACAGAATTTAAATTTCAATTTATCAATATCCAATAATTGTGATAATAATAATAGTAAAGAATTTGAAAATCCGCCATTATTATTATTCAGACAATTAAAACAAAATGGAAAAAAACGTGCTAATAATGGTAGGCGGAGAAAACGATTGAATCATGAAAACAAACTGACCAGTACATATTTCAAAGTAAATTGAACGTTTAACTCTCGTGTATTATGAAAATTTTGGGGCAGAGTTTTGGAAGTTTGTGTTTTTACACATTTGAAATCATCAATCAATCATTGTTAGACAGAGCACCATTAGAAACCTGGAAGCACTGCAGGACGGCCGTCAAGTCCTGGTATGGGACAACTCATCAGCAGTGCGCATCCACGACTGAACCCGGGACCTTCGGTATTGTGCGCGAACGCCTAACCATCGGACCACTGTGCCGCTGTCTAACTCTAATTGATCTAAGGAATTTGCGCGACCTCACCTATTTGTCTTTAATAGTTACTGCCTACACCCGACAGGGTTGAACTCCGTTGGTCACGTCTTCTCAACTAGAACTCCGAGAATTTCCTCACGAAGCTGCTAGTCATCACTAGTGAGCACTGTTACGATATTTTTTAGGCAGAGTTTTGGAGGTTTGTGTTTTTACACATTTGAAATCATCAAACCTCCAAACTTCTGCCTAAAAAATATCGTAACAGTGCTCACTAGTGATGACTAGCAGCTTCGTTAGGAAATTCTCGGAGTTCTAGGATGAGAAGACGTGACCAGTTCAACCCTGTCGGGTGTAGGCAGTAACTACCAAAGACAAATGGGTGAAGTCGCGCAAAATCCCTAGATCAATCAGAGTTAGACATTAACAGCGTTGGATGCCACCGGCCCAGTGGTCCGATGGTAAGGTGTTCGCCTACAATGCCGAAGGTCCCGGGTTCGAATCCTGCGAGGGGCAGGAGTCGTGAATGCACACTGCTGATGAGTAGTCCCATACAAGGACGAAACGGCCGTCTAAACAGTGCTTCCAGGTTTCAAATGGTGCTCTGTCTAACAATGATTGATTGATGATTTCAAATGCGTATTATGAAAATGGTAGTTTCTGTTTACCTCGGTGAAATCATGAATGAGTCGTTTTGTTAGACCGCGCTATATTAGAGAGAAACCTGGAAGCCAGTGGACGGCCGTTTCGTCCTGATATAGTAGGGTGTATTCACAACTCCTGCCACTCGTTGGACGTTCAGTCCTGCTTGCGAATGCTTAATCTCTGAGCTACTGTGCCTGGAATTCAACGGTGTTAATGTATAACTCTGATCACTCTAAGGGTTATTTTACTCAACCTTACCGATTGTAATCGGTAGTTGGTGCCTACTGTTGACAAGGTTGAATTCGACTGGCCATCCAGTACTTCCAAGTTTCAAATATGGCGGTCTAACAATGATTCATTCAAGAATTCAAAGCAGATTTGTTTTAATGATAGCTTGGTGCGCGCTACTTATAAGTAGTATATGACGTGAGTGTCAACGTAATGTCTGGCAGCATAAGAGGATGGGGGAAAGATCAACAAGAAAGGAAGAGTGGGAACACAATGGAATTTGTATGAAACGCATGAATAGTGAGTGAAATGTCAGACAATGGATTGATGATGGATTGAAGATTTGCAAATTAACTGTTTACGATATGTACTTACGTACCAAGTTCTACGTTGCATCTGACTGACTGACGATATGGTTTTCCGATTTTACTGAGTAACTGTAATTTTCGTTAAATACAATTTGGTTGTCCTCACCTGAGTTCTCCTTCACTACACTACTACCTCTACTATTATGGGATTTAAATTGACAATCACATCTCTGTGCTACGTACGTAGGAAGGAAGAGCGGGAACACAATGCAATTTGTATGAAACGTATGAACAGTGAAATGTTAGACAATGGATTGTGATGTTTTGCAACAGGAACAGTCCAGTTCGATATGATGCATTGATATTTTGCGAATTAACGATTTACGATATGGTTTTTCTATTTTACCAATTACCTGTGTAATTTCCTGGTTAGTGCTTTTTTTAGCGAGTTCGTTTTATGAGATGGAGTGGCCAATCCCAAGCTTAAGCCTTCTCCGTTCTCCGTGCTTGGGGGCTGGAAACAGCCCCAAAGGGTCTCCAAGCGGGGTTATAAGAAATCTAGGAATAGATGTACAGTTAGACATGAACAGCCAGTTGGATTTTGGCTCAATGATCTCTAGATGTTAAACGTTCGGTCAAGGGATCGGAGGTAATGACTACTGGGTTTTAATCCCCATGTAGTTGGGGGCGGGATCGTAGATGCTCACTGTCACTGATGAGCTCCATACTAGGACGAAACGACCGTCTAATTCATGATTTCAGTTATTTATATTGAAGTAATCAATGGGTGTCAACCAAGGCTCAACCTTTAAATCATTGTTGTTGATTGCGTAACGGTGTACACTCCTAATTTTAGAATATTAAACTGTTATTATTGTCATTTATAAGTAGCTTTGTTCAGAGATCAGATATAATTAGAATTCTTGGGATAATTTTCTATCGAAGTTAAACGATGAATGTGATAGGGACAGTGTTAGGATATTCATCAAATATCTTAAGAGAACTATTTTTGAAAGTCTAATTCTATTGGTCAATTCTTACTGGTCAATATTATGGACGTCCCAGTGATCAATGTCACGTACTTCAATGTTGTTTCCTATTCGACTTGATTGCATAAATATGCATTATCTGTAAGGTTTTATGACCCGGACCTGGATCCCTAGTCCGGGATCCTTAGCCTTTTCTGGACTCGAACCACGGATGTTTGTAGAATACACGTTCTACTTCATATCAAGTCTTCTTCTTTCACTCAATGGGGAGGGGAAGGTTAAGACACTCTGATTAGAGTATCACGTCGTGTCGCCGGACTCTCGATCCTCGCTCTCGTTTTCCGACTAAAGTATACTCATAATAGCTCAAACATGTCAAATGACATGTTTACGAGCATGCTTAACAGACAAAGAAGCTGCAAAATGTATTCTTGGAATTCTAGTAACAACTGGTAGTTACCCATCGTTGAATTTCACTGAAAAGTTAGACATCAACATAGCTGGATGTTAACACAGTAGGTAAAAGGTTAAGTATTCTCATGTGAGACAAGAGATCCTGCATTCAATGCCTCTATATATATATATGAGATCGTCAGTGCGCGCTGTTGAAAAGTCCTGTACTCCTCGAACGAAACAGCTTTTCAATATTTCTTTTTATCGGAAGTTTCCAATCATCCTGTTGTAGTGAAGGAGAACACAGGTGAAGGCAACCAAATTGTATTTAATCGCAAATTACAGAGTTACTCAGTAAAATTGGAAAACCATATCGTAAATCGTTGTTAATTTGCGCAAATCTTCAATCCATCTGACATTTCACTCACTATTCATGCGTTTCATACACAAATTCCATTGTGTTCCCCCCACTCTTCTTCCTTTCTTGATCTTCTCCCCCCCATCTTCTCTTCTGTTGCCAGACATTACGTTGACACTCACGTCATATACTACTTGTAAGTAGCGCGCACCACACTGTCATTAAGATCGAATTGTTATTTAAAATATTTGAATGTTTACTTTTGTTCAATATTCAATTTGATCATCAATACAATTGAACTTGTCTACTGAAATTTTATTTTTCTGTTCTGTTCTGTTTATAGAAACAACAAAAATGTGAAAATTATTTGAAATTTTCACCTACCGAGTCCACTGGTGTTGATATGAAACGAAATCGAAAAAGTAAGTTGATTAGACTTTGAAAAAATATGTGTTTGTTTATATCTATTTTCAATGATCAATAAATTGTTCGTAGTGATATGCTGCGCTACAGTATTAAAGAGATTGTTGTTTTAATCTTGTAAAAATAATTACTTACTTTACTTACTTACGCCTGTTACACAGCCCAATGGAGCATAGGCCGCCCACCAGTTTCCTCCAAACAACTCTGTCCTCAGCTTCCCTTTCCAGTTCTGTCCAATGTTTGTTCATTCCTCTCATATCTTTCTCTATTTCTCGGCGTAATGTATTCTTTGGCCTTCCTCTTTTCCTTTTGCCTTGAGGGTTCCATGTGAGGGCTTGTCTTGTGACGCAGTTCAGTACTTTTTGCAGTGTGTGTCCTATCCACTTCCACCGCTTCTTCCTGATTTCCTCCTCCACTGGAATCTGGTTTGTTTTCTCTCACAGTAGGTTGTTGCTGATCGTGTCTGGCCAATGAATCCGAAGTATTTTGCGTAGACAACTGTTCATAAATACTTGTATCTTCTGGATGATGGCTTTGGTATTTCTCCAAGTTTCCACTCCATACAGTAGAACTGTCTTGACATTTGTATTGAAAATCCTGATTTTGTTTTTGGTTTAAAGTTGTTTGGAGGTCAAGATATTTTTCAATTTTAGAAATGAAGCCCTTGCTTTGCCAATCCGTGCCCTCACATCTGCATCCGATCCACCTTTCTCGTTGATGATGCTGACCAGATATGTAAAGGTGTTAACGTCCTCTAAGTCATCTCCATCAAGTGTGATTTGGTTGGTGCATGTTGTGTTGCATCGGAGAATTTTGCTTTTTCCTTTATCTATGTTGAGACCTACTGATGCTGCAGAGGCTACTGCTACACTGGTCGTCTTCTCTTGCAGTTGTTGTTGCGTGTGAGATAAAAGAGTCAGGTCATCTGCGAAATCCAGATCGTCCATTCGCATCCTAGCTGTCCATTGGATACCATGCTTCCCTCCAGATGCTGACGTCTTCATAATCCAGTCGATCACCAGGAGAAAGAGAAAGGGTGAGAATAAGCAACCTTGCCTTACACCGGTCTTCACCTCGAAAGAGTCTGTTAGCTGTCATCCGTGTACGATTTTGCAGTTGAATCCATTATAAGAATTACGTATGATGTAAAAATAATGCGAAATCTAAAAAAATGTGACTAGCTACGTGAGGAAATTTTCGAAGTTCTAGTAAGAAGATGTGACTAGTAGAGTTCAACTTCTGTCGGGTGTAGGCAGTAACTATAGGAGACAATGGGTGAAGTTGTGCGAAATCTTTAGATTGATCAGAGTTAGAGATTAACATAGTGAGATGATAACTTACCGGTCCAGAGGTTAAGTGTTCGAGCATAAGAGACCGAAGGTCCTAGGTCAGAACTTTGCGATTGGCAGGAGTTGTGGATGCGCACTGTCATTGATGAATGCCATACTGGGACGAAATGGCCGTTCAGAGCTTGTGTGTGCTTCTAATGTGGTGGTTTAACAATAATTCATTCATGATTCCAAGGTATACTAATATTCATTTTTATCTCGTCTCAGCAGATCAGTAAAATCGTTAAAAAACAAAACTTATATTTTATGTGGAGTAACAGTGTATATTCATCAAAATAAGGCTACAAAAATATCAGTCAGTCAGTTGCAACGTAGAACTTCGTACGTAAGTACATCAGTTCATGTTGCCATACCACATCAGCACAGAGATGTAATTGTCAATTCAAATCCAATAGTAGTAGAAGTAGTAAAGGTATTAGAAGTAATCGTAAAGGTTAGGATTAGAAGATATTATTCAAGAAGTATGATTCAGTGAGAAAAGTTTAGAAAGACAAAACTAGAGGGGTTGAAGAATCTAGAAGATTAGGATTTGAGAGAACACAAAGAATAAATGCACCAGCGCCATTGCGAACGATTTTGAGCCATGTCGTTCAATGTATCTAACCATTGGTGACTTTCATCTCGCGGACCCCAACCAGGTAGTCGACATCTACCAACATGACTCAGTCCACTTTTTGTCAGTGACATCATGGATTTCTGCCATGTTTTGGTCTGCCCGCCCCTAACTTCCTTCCAACCTACTCCTACACCATAAAGCATGGCTCGACGAGGCAGTCGGTGGTTAGGCATACGTAACACATGTCCCAACCACCTCAACTGATGAAGTTTCACCACTTCATCTATTGATCTGCAAACCTTACCTAGAACCCGTTTCCTAACAATAGCATTGCTTACTCAGTTGTCCCAGGATATAAGAGCAATTCTTCCAAGACGCCTATGATCAAAAATGGGCAACGTAAGAATATCTTCTACTGTTACCGGCCATGTCTCACAGCCATTAAGTAGGATGGAGCAAACTACTACGCAGTACATTCATCAGCAAGGCATATTGGTAATCTCGAAGGAACTGTTCATCTCTGATGGATTCCATTCGGTACTAATGACTGATAAATAACGTCGGACTTAAGACGAACAGGGTTTCTCGTCGACTATCAAATATTTGAATTGAATTCGTACTGAGTTCAATTCATGTGAAAGAAATATCCCAATCATAAATTATTCCCCCCCAAATTAAGCACAAACATTCTATCTATCCTATTCACAATTTAAAACTTGTGTTTTTTTAATTGATGACGAATCAACTTTCAATTTTGAATTTACAAAAAAAAAATCCTTTCAATATTCAACATTTTTTTTCCTTTGTTTAAATAGATCAATTAAATACACCATTGACTAATGATAATAATACTAGTCAACAATATCACAGTCAGCCATTTTATCATAATGATACTATAAATAGTAATAATAATAATTATAATTATTATGATGATTGTTCAATGAACATTGATCAACATCATCATCAACATCACCGTTCAATGTTCAATGATCAATCAATGAATTCAATGTGTTCAACGTCAAATTCATCAACATCATCATCAGTGTTACAAATAGCAACAACCAATCACCAACAACAACATCCACCTTATTATCATCATTATTACTACTACTATTCGTTACCATTGAAGAAAAATGCTGAAAATGATTTTTTCAGTCAATCGAACTCACTGAATAACAATAATTACGTAACACCTACTAGTGGTCATGGTATGTCAACAATGCATTATTATTCACCAAATTGGCAGTTATCCCCATCATCATTATCTGTTTATTCCACATGTTCCTCCTCGTCATCCTCGTCAACCTCGTCATTGTGTTCATGTTCATCCCTGTCATCATCAACATCATCAACATGCTATCAGACAACACCTTACTACATTCATGTCAATTCAAATGAATCTTATTTTATCTCAACGAACAATCATAATTATTGTCCTTCACAATTGAACACATATTCACGTTGTCATGGTGATGATGAATATTATTATTATTTTCAACCGGTTTTTTTCAATTCAACATGCGACGAGGATGATGATGAAATTTATGAAAACGTTTCTCATCATCATCATTCTCATTCTACACCACTACAACAACCACAATCGATGAACGCAAATCATGATCAATATCCCCAGAATAACGATAATTATTACTGCAACTATTATTCTCATCATTCTAATCCTTGGTTAACAATGTCAGATCATGTAATTACTAATACTACTCATAATAACAATACTACTTATTCCACAAAATCGATCAATCATTATCCCATGGATTGTTTCCAGTCAAATAGTCAACTTTATTATCAAGAACAAGCAACAACACCGCCGCCGTCACTGCCACTGCCATCGCAACAACAGCAAGGACAACTGACCGTTCAATGTTCAATCACAGAAAACATTGATCAATACACCCCGATAAGAAAACAATTGATGCAAGTTAGTAGCAGCAGCAATAACGATGCGCATTGTGATTTAAGCAACTCAGCAATAAATTACTACTATCCACTTGTGTTGAATTCATCCAGCATGCATTGTTTACAGGAACAACATGAATTTGCGAAAGAATTCAGTCGGGAAGATGGTTTACATGAAGGTGGAGAACAGGATGACGATCAGGAGGATGGTGAAGATGAAGAAGAAGGCGTGGAAGAGCATTTTGACGATGATTCGCATCAGTATGATCATCATTATCATGAACAACCGCAACACCAGCACCAACCTCACAATGAATTCATCATTGATCAAAATCTATTCAAAACAACAACGGATTGGTCGAATAATAATGTATATTATTTAAACAATTCGTCAACAGTGTCAATAAAACAACCCGGTCAATTTGAACAAGATTTCATGGTAGAAAATGGCGGCGGCGGCAGCGGCAGCAGTAATCAATATTGTTTTGAAGAATGTCTTGTGGGAACTACCACTGGTGGTGACACTACTACTCTCACTACTACTACTAGTACTGCTACTGACACTACTAATAATAGTAGTAATCATCAACATGAATATTCAACCAATCAGAATTGCCCTAGTGAATTTGACAATTCATTGTTCAACTATTATTTCATTGTCAATCAACAACAACCGGTATCATTGGACAATTGAACATGTTGAACATTGAACGCTTTGAATCCGGTTTTTTTAAAAACAAAAATGCAAAAAACCAATTTTTTCTCCCAAATTTTTTTTTGTAATTTTTTTCAAAAAATATTCAACGTTTTTAATTTTTTTTAATTATTATTTTCCAACCGGTGAACAATTTTGAAAAAAAAACATTTTTGTTTGTTTTTTCTCCCTTTTTTGGATTATTGTTGATTTTTAAATCTCCCGCTTTTGTTTAAATTCTGAAATTAAAACAAACGGACAAACAAACGAAACACTGATTTGAATTTTACCTGTGATCAATTTATCATGATGTTCAGTGATAAATGAAAAAAATAATTAAAATAATATTTTCATTTTTTATTGATTCTTGAACGAGAAAATAGTTAGAAAAGTTTGTTTTAATTTTGTATTATTATAGTAATGTGGAACTCGTTGTTTGACATACACATTGAAATGATGTATGTCAGTCAGTCAGTCAGTCAGTCAGATGCAACGTAGAACTTCGTATGTAAGTACATCAGTTCATGTTGCCATACCACATCAGCACAGAGATGTAATTGTCAATTCAAATCCAATAGTAGTAGTAGAGGTAGTAAAGGTATTAGAAGTAATCGGAGAGGTTAGGATTAGAAGATATTATTATTCAAGAAGTATGATTCAGTGAGATAAGGTTAGAAAGTCAATACTAGAGTTGTTGAATAATCCAAAAGATTAGGATTTGAGAGAGCTCAAAGAATGGATGCACTTGCGCCAATACAAACGATTTTGGGCCATGTCATTCAAGGTCTCTAACCATCGATTGTTATCATCTCGCGGACCCCAACCAGGTAGTCGACAACTACCGATATGGCTAAGTCCACTCGTCAATGACTTCATGGATTTCTGCCATGTTTGAAATTATGAATGAATTCTTAGAGGTTAATAAGAGTTAGAGATGAATACTACATTGGATGCTGCTCAGTGGTTCAGAGGTTAGGCGTTTGTGTGCACAAGACCGAAGGTCCCGGGTTCGAATCCTGTGAGGTGCAGGAGTTGTGGAGTTGCGAACTGTCGCTGATGAGTCCCATACCAGGACAGAACGGCAGTCCAGTGCTTGTATGTGTTTCTAATGTGGTGGTCTAACACTGATTGACTGATGATTTCAAATGTGTAAGAATGAATCATTGTAAGATCACCATCAGAAACCTGGAAGTGCAGGATGGCCGTTTCGACCTAGTGTATGGGACGATTAGTTGACCTTGCGACCACTTTTCCCACCAGGAAAATCCTTGTCTGTGATTGGTTACTGTGTCATTTTAGTGTGATACTTTTGTGATTATCCCAAGGACGTCTCTATAGAGTATAAATAAACTCAAGTTGTGTGCTTGAGTTCATTGTATGCTGACTGTGTGTTTGTAGAATACACTTTCTACACTATATCTTGACTTCTTGCTGATTCAGTTTGCTCAAGGGATCACAGTAGCCTCCCTGAACGCTGGTTCATTGTCTCGTTTGCGTTTATCTACTAAGGTGAACACGTAATAGTTTCAAGCATAACAAGACCACTGATCAACCTTAGGATTTTGCGCAACCTCACCCATTGTGTTAAGTAGTTATCGCCTCTACACCCAACAGGTTTGAATTCCACTGGTCAAGTCTTCTCATTAGGTTTTCGAGAATTTCCTCATGAAGCTAGTCACCACTAGTGGTCTGAATGTACTCTTGCATTACAATGTTGAAGTTCACCTATCGGAGGGGTTACCCATATAGTATTTTCAGTCTAGATAAACACCAAACTTGTTCAATAGTTAGATATGAAATGATTAGCTAAGGTTTAAATTAACCGTAGTTGATATCAGTCAGTTAGTCAGTTACAACGTAGAACTTCGTATATGAATGAGTACATAAGTTCAGGTTCAGTCAATAGAGTACCACTTTGCTCTTAGACCTTGAGTAGCTGCTGTTTTTAGTCTCATCGTGCTCCAATCATCCTGTCTGGCATGGTAGAACCTACAAGGACATATGTCTAGCCGATATAACTCGGTTGGGTCATCACGATAGGCAAGCCCGACAAGCACCACATCAAGGTAGCAGCAAAGACCAGGCTCTGTTAGTATACAAACATGTCTCAAACTGGTTACTTCATTTTTAAATGATTATATCATAAGTAGTTGTTGTTGTCAAGTTGATATACACAGAGTTACTCAGTAAAATTGGAAAACCATATCGTAAATTGTTCATTTGCAAAATATCAGTTCATCAGTTCATCGAACTGGACTGTTCCTGTTGCAAAACATTAATCCATTGTCACTATTCATGCGTTTCATACAAATTCCATTGTGTTCTTCTAACTCTTCCTGTCTTGATATTCCATCCCATCTTCTTCTGCCAGACATTACGTTTTCACTCGTGTCATATACTACTTAAAAGTAGCTCGCACCACAGCACCACACTGTCATACATTTCAATATTGATATTCATACAATGATAAAGTAATTGTAAATACTCCTGTTACTCCTTGATTTTGACCAATTTGGTCTCGTGTGCTGGTACGGATATGAGGGCGGTTATCACTTCCCGGCTGCCCACACCACGGAAGGTTGTTTCTTGAGGAACCTGAAAAAGAAGATAGATTAGTGTTGGACTTAACGACCTGGGTGCGTGACCGCAGAGCCCAAGGGACAACTGCTTGAGGCCGGTCACGCACGGCCTTTTTATGAGAAGTTTTTTGAGCACTGATTCCGCTCTTGGAAGCCCTTAGTGGGCACCCATACCGACGGAGACGGAAATCCGTGAAGTAGCATCGCTGCAGATACTGGCTGCTCGTGGGAAACACCTTACTGCTGTCACACCCCCCTGCAGTTAGCAGTACGACTTTGCCCTCAGATGTTGGGTAGCTGCTTTTAGTCTCATCGTTCTCCAATCGACCTGGCTGGCATGGTAGATCATTCAGGAACATATGTTCCAGCCAGTATAGCTCGGTTAGGTCATCACGATAGGGAAGCCTGATCACCACGTCAAGATAGCAGCTTCAGTCTTCTTCATCACCATTAATACCTCTACTATCTCTATCACTATGAGATTCGATTGGACATTTGCGTCTCTGTGTAAATGTGGTATGGCAACATGAAATTATGTACATAAGTACGAAGTTCGACGTTGCAACTGACTGACTGACTGACTGGTACTCCTTAATGAGGTAGAGGCCGCTGATCAGTGAATTATTTTTCTGGTTGGCGGTTCTTTTTTTTATAGGGAGTTGAATTTCTGCGAGATAGAGTCGCTAACCTCATGCCCAACCCTCCTCGTTTATCTGGGTTTGGGACCTGTAGTAGACATAGAAGGGCTTCAGGCGGAGTTCAAGTCACCGAATAACAACTTTAAATCACTTCTCTCTTGGGTGCATCTTTGTAACAGTTCCCATTGTGTTATTGATTGCTTCGATATCTGCTTACGATTCCTGGTGCATTGGGTTCTTTGATCTTAAATAGTTCAAGTTGTGGACGTTACTCACGAGGTTGGTTATAAGTAGTAGTAGTAGTAGTAGTAGTAGTAGTAGTAGTAGTAGTAGTAGTGTGAGTAGTAGTAGTAGTAGTAGTAGTAGTAGTAGTAGTAGTAGTAGTAGTAGTAGTGTGAGTAGTAGTAGTAGTAGGGTAGTGTGCGCTACTTATAAGTAGTATATGACGTGAGTGTCAACGTAATGTCTGGCAGCAGAAGATAGGTGGGGAAGATCAACAAGAAAGGAAGAGTGGGAACACAATGGAATTTGTGTATGAAACGCATGAATAGTAGTGAGGATGGATTGATGTTTTGCAACAGGTACAGTCCAGTTCGATATGATGAACGGATATTTTGCAAATGAACGATTAACGATATGGTTTTCTGATTTTACCTAATAACTCTGTAATTTTCGTTCAGTACAATTCGGTTGCCCTTACCTGTGTTCTCCTCCACTACAGTAGTAGCAGTATGTAGCCTCCCTTGGAAATTTCTCAGAATCGATAGGTAAAGACACAAGTTCTTACGAAGTCAACAGTTCAATACATATAATCAGTAAACTTAGAAACCAAAACAAGAGTTATAAAACGTAGACTATCACATACTTGTATGTATATAGATGACTAGAGACATACATGCACGTGCACACACACAGACACACACAGTATGCATTTTTTTGAACAATATCTGTTCCATCCAGGTGATAGTCTATGTTCGAATGGAAAGCTTATCACAACTAATGAAGTTTAAACAATAACTAACTAGATTTTATGTCTGTCATGGTAACTAAATTATATATACCTTAATTAGTCTGTTATATAACGAAGTAATGAATAGCGTGAGATTCAAGCTGAGTCTTCTAGAAGTTTAAAGCATTTATGCGTGTGTTACGTTCGTCTCTAGGTATGTTTGAAACTACTGTGAGTTCATCTTAGTTGAATAACGGGAACGAGACAATGAACTAGCCTTGACCAAAGTGAATCAGTGAGAAGTCTTGATATAGCGTAGAAAGTGTATACTACAAACACCCAGCAATCACACAATACAATCAAGCACACAAATGGAGTTTATTTATACTCTATAGAGACATCCTTGGGACAATCACAAAAATAGCACACTAAAATAACACAATAACCAATCAGAGCCAAAGATTTTCCTGGTGGGAAATGTGATCTCAAGGTCAACTGTTCAGTTCATGAAATAAATCCAAAATCAGGATATTCATCAAGCGAATTCTGGGGATCCAGCATTGCCAATAGCGTGGAAACAAAGCCGATCTGACAATATAACGGTCATTCAGTACGTTCATATTTCTAACCATGATCTAGCTAAGATTAGCTCGTCATCTAATCTCCACAAACTGACTATACTACTTCAGAGAAATATTGATAAATAGAGATTGCTTTCATGATAGGAATGTAGAAGTTGTTGAATCGATCAATGTTAAACCTAACCTCCAAGCACTGAATGGTCGTTTCATCCTATTTTGTGACTCACCAGTAGTATACATCTATGCCTCCAGC